GGAAGTATGTGTGTGTGTGTATGTACAGATTTGATGTTGTGGTTGCTCTAACTTCCGCAAATATTGAGATATCGGGCTGTTTTTTTTTTATCGATAGAGTATCATTTAAGGAAAATTGGTATTGAATTTGGCGATAATCGGTAAAGGGGTTCTTTTTTAAAAAATTTTTGAATTTTTTTAGAAATGCCCGTGGTTGCTCTAATTGTAAATTTTGAAATATTGCGCTATTTCTAATTTTATTATATTCTTCAGTTTTTTCTACCTCTATTTCATATATAATTCTTTAAGATTTGGCGAATATCGATAAAGGATCGAGTTACCGATTTCTGCTCAAAAAGTTACATGTATAAGTTTGTAAATGTAATTTTATAGAGTATCAAAAAAGTTGGTATTTTGAATTTGGCGATAATCGGTAAAAGGATTCTTTCTTTATAAAATTTTGAATTTTTTGAGGATCGGTGAAGAAGTTACCGATTTTTGTCTAAAAAGTGGACAAGTTATACATGTAATCTCTAAATATAGAGTATCATTAAAGAAAGGTTGTTCTGAGTTTGGGAAGGATTGGTGAAGGGATTACCGATTTCTGCTTAACCCGTTGACTGTGTATGACGGCTATAGCCGCAAAAACAAAAGTGGCCAAGAGTGTGTATGACGGCTATAGCCGCAATGTAGAAAAAACAAAGTAAAACTTTCTGAATTTGCTTGAAACTTGTTACTCGGGGGTTTCTGGGGTCGCTGATTACGAATCCGAAGTCAGATGTACAAAATTCAAAATGGCGGATCCAATATGGCGGATCAAAATTACCAAAAAAGGTCTGATTTTCATGAAATTTGGTACCCTTATGTTTTTTGGGTCTTTGAATCCAAATATAAAGTCAGATTTTCAAAATTTAAAATAATAATAATAAAATTTCGTTTATTTTTTGTAATTTTGATCCGCCATATTGGACCCGCCATTTTAAATTTTGTAAATCTGACATCATATTCGGATTCAGAGACCCAAAAAACATAAGGGTATCAAGTTTCATAATAATCCGATGAACTTTTTCTTCAACACATTTTTGGCCCAAATAGTAAAATTCTCTTACACAGTCAATGGATTAAAAGAATCTTTTTACCGATTATCGCCAAATTCAATACCAACCTTTTTTAATGATACTTTATATAAAATTACATGTATAACTAATACATGTTACTTTTAAGCAAAAATCGGTAACTCTTGCACCGATTCTCGCCAAATTCAATACCTTTCTTAAATGATGACTTTATCCATCAAATAACTTACACATTTTTTAAGCAGAAATCGGTAACCCTTTCACCTCGCAAAATTCAAAACAATCTTCTTTTAATAATACTCTATATAAAATTACATGTACATCTTATACACTTTTTAAGCAGAAATCGGTAATCCCTTCACCGATCCTCGTGAAATTAAATAACAATCTTCCTTTAATGATACTCTATCCATCAAATAACTTAGGATAGATTGAGGCGAATCGGATTAATATAAGTTTTAAGACAATTTTCGTTAGTGTTTTATTTTAAGCGAGCTATATTATCGTACTAATTAGTAATCCGATTTGCCTCGGTCTACCCTGTATATTTTTTAGGCAGAAATCGGTAACCCTTTTACTAATCTTCGCCAAATTCAAAACAACCTCCCTGATACCTTACATATAAGATTACATGTATGACTTGTACACTTTTTAGGCAAAAATTGGTAACCCCTTCACCGATCATTGCCAAATATTTTTGTTACGTCGTCTAACTTTTTCGATTTTAACTTGAATTTTATTGCAATTTTTGTAACGTCGTCTAACTTTTCCGATTCTAACTTAAGTTTTTTGCGACACTGAAGATGGTCCGATAAAGGTCCGAAACGTTTGTTATTATTATTTGAATTAATACAGAATTTTTAACATTAACAACCTTGTTACGGCTCGGTACTTTTTTCTTGATTGATTTTTACAAACTATTAATTATTTTAATAATAAAGAATTTATTTCTACTAATTACCAATTTGCAAAAAAAATTAATTTATTTTCGCATAAATACTAATTTTCACGTAACTAGACATTTTTCTCTGATAAATTACCAATTTTTTTAGTAATGCGAATTCACTTTTACATAAATGTTATTAATTTTTACGTAATTAGTAATTTTTTGCGACTAATTACTAATATGCTAATTCAATATTTAAGTAAATATGTAGAATAACGGCACCCTATCCGATTCTTTTAAAATTTTCAAATTTTGTGCATTTTGGGTAGTAAAAAAGATTCTCAGAAGGAAAATTGTCGCTTATGTTCCGTTTGTTTATAATTATTACTTAAAATATCACGATGTAGGCAAGTAAAGAAATAATAATTTATAAATATATATTTTGCTGCTTTTACTATTAGATTATATGTTATTTATAATTTTATTCAATTATATATTTTAAAGGGGGACAAATGGCTAAGGGGTGCTCAGTGGTTGCGCATATTGTCGAGAGATGCGTAGCAATAAATCACTGAAAGCGCACTTGGGATGTAAAGTACATGCTTACAACCCTAGCAAGTCCTACTTCTACCTCCGAGTAGTGCTCCCTGGGTAAAACCGGTAGAACTCGGCTAAGGTATGGCAACCCCTACAGAAGAGTCTCTAATCCCTGGTCCTCCAGATTTGGGGTTGGGCGCTAGGCTAACAACCTGATCCGTCAAACCAACTTGTTAAGAAACCAGAAACTGGGCCTCGGATGGGACGGTCACAACGGCGACGACTCGGATTACGTAATATGGCACTGAGAATAGGAACGTAAAACGTAAGAACCCAGTACGAGACAGCAGCAACTAAAAGCCTGGTAGAGGAGATGACAAAATGTGGAGTCCAGATCCTAGCAATCCAAGAGACAAGGTGGAAAGAAAATAGCACCATGAGAGTAAGGGACTATGATTTCTTCCACAGTAGAGGTCAGAGACACTTCCTCGGAGTGGGTTTTGTGGTACACTAAAGTGTTTCCACTGAAGTGTCTCAAAAGTTAGTCTCTTCATAGGATCCTTGTTCCAGCATTCCAGCATGATATTATAAAGCGTGTAGGGACAGCCGGGTGGACACGGCATTCTATAGCCATGTTCCACCTGATGAAGAACCTCGGCGTTCGTCATACCTGGATAAGGTATTCTGCCGTACGTGACCAATTCGGTAAAAAGAATGTCAAACAACCATACGTCGGATTTAATACTGAATTTGCTGTAGTTGGCAGCTTCGGGGGTGGTCCACTTGATAAGAAAACGCGCTCCTATTCTAGTCTTGTATTCGTCCTCTTTGATAAGCCTAGCCAAGCCAAAGTCTGCGATTTTAACAACATTTCCGTCTGCTACGAGAACGTTACGGGCGGCCAAGTCTCGATGAATGTAATTCTGTGATTCTAAGTACGCCATACTGGCGGCTATTTGCGCGGTCATGTTGATCAGTTGCTGCAATTTTAGGCCTCTACCTTTTCCTTGTAAATATTCCAGTAAACTGCCGTTCTTCATCAATTCTGTGATGATGTAAATCGGTTCCTCCATCGTGCACACAGCGTACAATTGAATTAGCTTGGCGTGTCGGAGTTTCTTCATGATTTACGCCTCGGCGAGGAAGTCCTTCGGGTCTATGGTGCCCGGCTTGACCGAGACAATATAATAGAGTTTCGACCAATCAGTGACAGAATGTGTGCTATCAGAATAAAAACCAGATTCTTTAATCTTAGTCTGATCAACGTGCACGCGGAAATAGAGGAAAAGAAAGACCCTATCAAAGACTCCTTCTGTAATATAATACACTGTAACGGGCATATAATACGACCCCGTCTAATGATATTAAAATGGTGCTGGGAGAGTTAAACGCTAAAATCGGAAGAGATATAATATACCGCCCGATCATAGGGAAGGAGAGCTTACACGCAGAGTCAAACAATAACGGCTTTCGAGTGATAGATTTTGCGACTAGCAGGAATATGACAGTCAGCTCAACGTACTTCCCTAAGAAAAACATACATAAGGGAACATGGAACTCACCGGATGGCTTAACGTGCAACCAGATTGACCATGTACTAATAGAGAAAAGAGGAGCATCCAGCGTACTACAAGTAAGAACATACAGGAAAGCAAATATGGAGTCAGACCATTTCCTTGTAGGAATTAAGTTCCGGTGCCGTATGTCGAGCAGGCAGACAAAGGGCTGAATACAATTATAATTAGTATAATGCCTGTATATAGGTGCCTATATATATAAAAACTTTTTTACTTTCTGTCTTTAATATTTATTTTTAATTATTTAATTTTTTTATTTAATTTAATTACCGAATTTAAAAAGTAATGGCAAACACGGCAGGTTTGTCTATAATTTTAGATAAGTGAGCGACAGAAAGAGAGTTTCTTTGAAGTCAATTTTGTCCGTATTATGTGTAGTTATCTTTATAAAAAAAGAAAATATGTTGATGTAAAAGAAATTAAAAGTAACTGAAATTGAAAGTAAAAGAAATTAAGAGTAAAAAGTTTTTACATTAGTTGAAATAAAAGCAAACCAAATCAGTAATCTGTCCTAAAGATAAAATAGAAAATAAGTGAACTGAAATAAAAAACCAGATCTTACAAGACGGAATTACGATGTCTGGATTACTGATTGAAAATGTGAGTCCAAATGTTTACTGAAACGTAATACCGATTATGACAAAAAAAAGTAAGAAAGAAAAATGAAAAGAGAATGGGGCCTCTGCATTAATGGGTGCTTTCCAGCAAGCAACACAGACGACACAGTGCGACACAGTGTCGACATAGGTGCTTTCCTACAACGACACAATACGACACAACTCGACACAGCTGAGAAGCAAAGTCGAGATGTTGTGTCGTAAATCAGGATTACCAATTTCAGTAACTTTTAAAATTTTAATATTTACAACCCTGGAGATAAAAAAATACTTTCTGTTATTATATATATAACTATCTAAATGTCATTTTGTGTAGTTCTGTAATTAATTTTGCTAAATTAGAAAATAAAGAAAATGAAGTGCAAATATTGTGAGGAAAATGTATTACTTGATGAAGCCGCAAATCACGCATGTTTTATTGGAAAACAAATTTTTATGGATGAAGAAAACAATTTATTTGTACAAAGTGATAATGAACAACGTAAGCATAAATTTTAGATAAATAAAACTTTAATATTCAATTTTATTTGTTTAATATCTGTATAATATAATTTGTACATTTTTTATAGTTGCTACCTGCGATGAAAGTGCATCTATAAATGAAAATTTATCTACGGAAACATGTAACACACATGTAAATAAACAACGTAAGGTTATGTTTCTTTTAAAGAGATATAGAACTTTAATAATGAATTTTATTGTTTAATATAATTTGTTCATTTTTTATAGCTGCAGTCTGGGATAAAAATAGTACGTTAGCACTTCTCAGTCTTTATGAAATGAAAATAGAAATGCTCGATCATCCAAAAAGAAAAACTAAAATATGGGAAGCTATCTCTACAGATTTACAAGAAAATTTTGGAATACAGGTATAAAATATTAGAGCGTGCAAAATTTTTTAGATTGTCATAAATTCTATATAATTATAAACTTATACATAAATAATAACTTTATATTTTAGATGACTACAGATCAGGTTCGTTGGAAAATGAACGCTTTAATAAAAAAATACAAGGAATGCGTTGATAATAACTGTAAATCAGGAAGAAGTCCAATGACCTTTGAATGGTACGATCAACTAGATGAGATCTTTGGCCAACAAGGAAACGCTGCTGCAAGTCATACTGTTTCATCCAATTTGGCTTATTTAAAAAAGTCTTCATCTTCATCCGTACAAAAACGTGATTCAAATAAGTCTTCAACAATAACTTCAAAAAATGCTAACACTTTACTGACTTCAAAAAATGCTAACACTTTATTAACAAGATGTTCCAATGAAAATGTACAAATGACTACATCCAGTGACAGTGAAATACAAAGTCCTGCATCAAATAAAAGGAAACGTCCATTGCACGGAACTGGATCTAATATAGCAAAGACAAAAGTTGAAATTGAAAACCAATGGTTGGAATATATAAAAACAAAAACTGAACGTGACAAACTCAACGATGAAAAACATGCAGCAACTTTTGAGCAAAAAAAAGAAATATTAAAATTAAAAAAAAAACGTATTACTTTAAAAGAAAAGGAAATTGAACAACAAAAAGAATATTTTGCAGCAAAATTAAGAGAAAAAGAAAATAGACATGCACAACTAATGGAAATAGAAAAAGAAAAATACAAACTTTTAAAAAAATTAATTAAAAATGAAATTTCAGATTCTGAATAATTTTTAAAAACTTACACAGTTTTTGTGCAATTATAATTATTCATACAGTAAAATATAAATTTAAATGTAAATTGCATATTATTCTATATACAAATTCGTTATTTTTTGTATGTAATTTATATATTATATAAAATACTTAATTATTTCTTTTATTGTATGGATAAAAAAATATTAATATAATTTTTATTTTAAAAACTGTTATTTTAAAATATGTAACGCCAAAGTTTTTTTTTTTTTTTTTTAAGTTTAATAATTTTTATTGGACTTATGTATTTGCTCATTTATTTAATATATCTACAGTAGTATTCTAACAAAATATATGATTCAAAATAAATAAACATACAGTAATATAATTTTATTTTTGGCGTAAAAAGAAATGAAAACTGTAATTTTTTATTTTCATGAAACTAACATTTAAATGATTAAAGTTAAAACTATAACTAAATGATTATAAAGTTTAAAGATAATTACATATTGAGTATTTTAGATATAAGAAGTCTTTACATATAAGATGTGTTTCCATACTCATTTTTAGCACTGAAAATATATAGTATGACATATAAACTGTTAACTAAATTGTTAATAGAGAAAGTGAGTATGGGACGCACATATAAAGTGTTCATTATTGTGATAATAGCGGTAAAGTAAATTGATAAAATACAAATAAGCATAAATGTTACTATAAGTTGTTATTACAAAGAAATATATAAAAATAATATTATTAGAAAACATGTATTTTAATTTATTTAAAAAAAATCCAATTTTTGTAAGCTATACAAATATTAAGTAATAAATTATTGTAATTATGACTGTTATTTTTTAGTTTATAGGAAATATCTTATTAAACAACTGCATCCTACGGTCTAGTTCTTGATTAAAATTATTAAGTTCTTCGTTATTATTTTCAATGTTTATAAAATCGTCAACATATTCAGAAAAATCATATAAATCATTTTTACCAATGCAATAATTATGTAGTATACAAGCCGCAACTACTGTATTAGTAATAAAAGATATGTCACGATATTCAGTAAAGAATTTAATGCGACGAAAACGCCCTTTTAATTGCCCGAACGCTCTTTCGACAACTATTCGTGTAGATGAATGCATAAAATTAAATTCCCTCTGTTGAGGTGACAAATGCCCGTTATCTCGAAACGGTGGAACAAGCCATTGTAAACATGGATATGCCGAATCACCTAATAGAAATGTTTGGCCAGGAAATAACATTTCTTTATCCATACTAGCTGTTTCATATAAAGATGATCTTCGGAAGACCCGCGCGTCATGAAGCGAACCAGGTTCACCGCAATATATATTAGTGAAAAGCATATCTGCATCTACAACAGCTTGTAAATTTATTGAAAAAAATTTTTTTCGATTACAATAATTACGTGCATTACTGCTAGGTTTCAGAATTTGAATGTGAGTCGAATCTATCGCTCCTAAAATATTACGAATTCCTTGTTTTCTGTTAAATTTTTCACATACCATTATAATCTCATTTTCTTGTGGCCATTTTATAATTATATCTTTTTTTGTTAAAAGCCAAGCTATAATTCGTCGAAGAACTCTAAAAACAGAAGAAATTGAAACATTAAATCTATCAGACATTGTTCGAAGTGGTTCTGTGTTCGCAATATACCACAAAAAAATTAAAAAACTAAGTTTTGCCGATATTAATTTAACGCCAAAAGAATGTGATGGAATATAATGCGAGACTTTCAATTCTTCAATTAAAATCAATGCTGTACGTCGATTTAAACGTAAATGTTCTTTAAATTCCTGGTCCGTCCAAGAATCAACAACTCGAAGATAATCTTCAACGCGATGTCTTTTCCGACCATTCATCAAATTATTAAGCAAAGGGAATAATAATACATCTTCATTTTCCTCTTCATTATTTGAAGATGTACTACTACTACTTGTACTGCTGTTGAGTATACTTAATTCATCACTCGATGAACTCTCATTATTTACAGTTTCCATCAGTTGAATAATTATTTTATGTTTCTTAATATTCATCTGTAAAAAAGATTATAAAAGTTTCATAAAAGTGCTTTAGAATTATGTTTATAATTTATGTAACATTTATTATATATAATATTAAATATAACCTTTTTTTTATATAATTACTTACAATAAATGATTAATTTGCCAATATCCAATATCTTACAATATTTACACTGACTATAGACAATATTTACAATGACAATATATTTTTAATATATTTACAATATATTAAAAAATAAGAAACTGCTGATTTATGCCAAAGTGTACGACGTAATATAACCTTATAATGATACAGGATACAGTAGTGATGATTCATAAGTAAGGTTAAGATCTAGAAGAAAAAAGCTTACATCAGCGCAAACTAGTGAGTACATCGAAAATTAGATTGTTCCAGTAAGCACCCTTACACTGTGTTCAATTGTGTGACACAGTGTCTTTCTGTGTCTCCTTGCTGGAAAGCACCCAATGTCTATATGATCGGTTCTTGGGCTAGAATTTCAAACCAGAGCCACAAGAATGAAAGTAATTCTCAGATCTCAAGACGAATATAAACTCTAGCAGAGGCCCTTGTACTTTTTTGACTAATGTCTGTCTTCAAATATGGCGTCCCAATAAGAATCTCTTAAAGTGATTGGGCCATCAGAGCATGTCAAAGAAATAAATCCGAATTAAAAATATGTTATAAAGAAAACCTAAATACGCTTAAATTTGCAATTTTGAAAAGATTTGACGTCTAGTTTTTGAGATATTAAATCTCAAAGTTGGCATTTTTAACATAGGTTTTATGGAAAATTGTATCGAAAACATACATTTTTCGAAAATTTCACTCACTATCTGTAAAGAAACAAGTTCAAAAAACTGAAAATAACATTATTTGATTCTTCTAGCACTTGTTAAGTATAAGACAAAACGACGTTGACGTGTAATAAGGCCAAAAATTCAATCAAAAGTTGATGAATTATCGCGTTTCTTGTCGGCCTTTCGATCAGCTGTACGCGACGTGAACATGTAGCAACGCCGCGCCGTGTAGTGTTTTCTTTCCACAGCACTATTCTTTTGCAAGCAAATCTTCTGTTATCGAAATTGTTTGTTACCTTCCATTATTTTTCAACATAAACACAATACATAACCCCACTCAAACACATGGCACTGGCATGATAGCTGTCTAACAGCGAAGAGATGCAATGTCGCGACATTTCTCTTGTACGAATGTCAACTGAAGTCAAATTTTGAACTGTTTACATTTATCAGTAGATAAATTGATACATAATCGAATAAAAAGTTACATTATAAAACCAGTAATTATACAAGTGTCTAGAATATATCCATAAAAATGGTTTTTCTTAAAATAAAATTTAGGCCTTATATTGACTCATATGGTACTAGCCGAATCACCTTAAGGGCCTCGCTCGCTGGATCGGATTCCTCGCCTCGATCCTCCCTCTCGGACGCTAGCTGCCGCAGCTCTCCCTTTCCTGGCGGTGAGCTCTCCCTGGTGATCCGACTCTCGCTCGGTTGGTCTCCAGAACACGCGCCGCAACGATCAATCCGTCAAGAAAGAGGTAACAGACTCGACACGTTCGAAGAAACGCAAGCAAGTGCGGCCGCGAGTGAGGGAGGAGGTGGGGGCTCTTTGAGAGTGGCAACTCGCGCGTTGCGCCATCTAAAGTAAAAAGGTTGGGCGTTGTAAAAGCGAAAAGAATTCGAGTGCAATATCTGAACAAATGATTTAATTTTTAATAATTCCAATTATTAATATTTATTTCCATAATTGAACTTATTCTTTATTTTGATAAATGTAAATACAAATATCTTATTGTATTAATATTTAATATTAATAATTTAATTAGTTGCTTAATTTAACTTCTGGTTTAATAAATGAACGGATGCAGTACTGAAAATGTACCTATTATATGTATATAACATTTTAATTTTTAAAATTGTCAAATTACAAACAGGAATTTTGTTGTGACTTTTACAGTTATAAAGTAACTAATTAATGGAAATGGAAGCCTAAAAAGATTAATATTGTAACGCAATTATTATAATAATGCTCAAATCATAAAATATTTACATTATCCATGTCTGCCAATACAATATAATTTTTTATTCATATTGCATTCTATATAATGGCAATGTTATTATATTTTTAATCCAACTTTTTTTTCATATTTTTTAAAAGTTATAAAATTGAAGCAGGGTATATTCATACATGCAAACCAGTTTATTTAATTGTGACCAGCTAGCCTAATCCACTGTGAAGTGCTCTTAAAAAAATAAAACATAATAAAAATTAACATTACATTATACAGCTTTGAAATCTAACTTTTAAGTAAAAAAATAATATTTTTACCTAGTACACATTTTGAATTAATGTCATAACGAAGGTTGCTTCTATTTCCGGATTCAGGAATATGAGTTTTGCTCGTAATGACCTTATTCAACAGCAAACATTTGTGACATCTAATAATTAGTTCTGATGCTAACCCTTGATATATCTCAGTTTCCAGAAATTGTAGCGATAATACTTCTTTACATGAGATGTACCACAGTTGTTCACCTAAACATTTCAATTCAACGATACGTTGGTCCATGCATAATCTCTGGAACCTCTGGAACACTTTCTTCAGCATTCTCAATATTTTCTTCCACTGGATTTTTTGTTCTTTTATACCCATTTTTCTGTTGCGCAAGTCTTTTCTTATATTGTTTTTTAGTAGCGATTTTTTCTTTCCATCGATACATTTTTTGTGCGATAATTGCGGTTGAATAACAAGCTTTTCAAATTAACCTCCAATGTAGCTTAATTTGATTTGTGTAAGTATATGCGTGTGTCAAAACAGGCCTCCCAACCTCTTGGATTGTACAGTGTTGTCACATTTAGCTGCGTAGCTTATTAATATATTTACAGCAAATATCATTATAATAAAAATACAATTTTCATGTTTATACAATATATTTAATTTATATTATTAAATATGACTGAAATTACGAGTTTAAAGCAATTACTTTATTTTCTAATTTTTCACAAATTTAATTTTTTTAAGTTGAATTCAGGGCAAATTCACTGTCAAAAATTATTTTGCCAAGATTTTGTTTAAGAAAAAAATAGTAGTAACAGTTATTTACAGTCACTAAATCTACGTTTTTTACATTTTATTAGATTTGTCGTAACTATATTTGTATACATTTTTTTGTCTTTGGATCTCTAGAGAATTAATATCGGTGTTTTTTAAGATTTCCATGACTTTTGGCTGGACCTGTCCTTATAGAACATCCTTAAGGTCAAAGTCATCTCAGCTGTATAAGTTTTTCTAAAGAATTACCATTTAGCAAATTAGAAACATTTAAAAAATATGCCTAACTATTATAAATCATAAGTTGCAATCAAATAAAAAAGAAAAAGAAATATTTATAGATATTTTATGCATATAAAAATCCACAATTTTTAAATTTGTGAAATATTACTCTTCCTTCTTGTTATTATTTATACATTGTATTTATATATATGCAATGTGTTATATATTATTTAATATTTATTTTTTTAACAAATTATTTTTTAAACATATTATTATTTTTCATATTTTTCACATTTTTATTCTGTTTTAGAGGTTTCAAAAAACTACATTTCTCTTAAGTAGTTACTACTGATTTTCTAATAGAAATGTGCAAACGAAGTTTTTACCACGGAAACCAAATATATCTCGTAATAGTTTTTTTATTCGAAGAAACATGGTGATTGTATAATGTTTCTAAAGTCACTTTGCAAATCGTATACCGCAATAATATGTTAATGAGTTCTCTTGTGCTTAAAGAAGCTGTCTTAATTCTCTGCGTGACTAATTATTATCTTTCTCTTGCAAATGCATGCTCTTGCACCACGTATTGATAATAAACTAATTAAAGAAATAAATGTTCTGCAAACCATATTTCTTATTTTTACTTATATTTTTATAATCGTCGAATTTAAAATATTTAAAGTGTGATTATTAAACATTTAAGGGGTTACACCTTTTGGATGCTTGAAAACCCTTATAGAAATTTATTAGAAATGCCCGAGGAATATGATGGTACACGCAATAAATCGAGAGTTATGTGCTGTACTACTAAATACCTTGACCTTTATTTAGTTGGTAGATGACAATTAAGTACTCCTGACTTATCTTATATTCGTACAGCTTATGCGTTTTCTTGCAATGTGAGATACGTATCGTACAGCGTGCGTGCTCAACGTTACGAGAGAGCGAGGGAGAGCAGCTCGGTACAGATCACGGTGCAGATCAAGCTACACTAGCGCGCTCGCACATATCTTAACCGCGCCAAGTCTAAATATGTTGTTGTCTTCCAATAAAATTTAATACTGTAAGTGATTTTTTGGCTAGTGATTAATCATTTAAAAGCACTATTAAAAGCACTATTAACAGTGCTTTTAATAGTGCTTTTAAGTGATTAATTACTAGCCAAAAAATCACTTACAGTATTAAATTTCTATAAGGGAATGAGGTTACTTTTCGGAATTTTTTTCAACAAAAATGTGATAAAAGCAATATAAAATTGATTAAATACATTAGATAGATTGTACTCTAAACTATAAAAAACAACTTATATTTTTCAAATATTATTTATTAATTTGTGCTAATTATAATATTCTCCTATAATAAATTCTCAAACAAGTTTTCTTCCTCTTTCTCTTCAAGCCCTTCTGGTTTGCACATCTCCGAGCAGGGTTATCTGAAATTAAGTTACTAAAAAGATTTATATTTAGAATACTTAATTGTGTTTATACTTACCTACTGGTAACCATTTTTAAAAATTTGAAAAAATGTACAATTTATATAAATTTAAAAAAAATTTAACCAAAATTCCCGTAATTTTTTGTTAATTAAAAAAATGTTTTTTTTTCCCCAAAAAAAGCCTTATAGGGGAGGGCATTCATTACAAGTATTTTGGTTTATTATAGAAGTGACCAGTTTTCGAGTTATAATGCAAATCAGTTCGAGAAACAATGGTTTCGAGAAAAACCACGTTAAAAGTTTTGAAATATAGATTTATATATTAAATGTAGACATATTTTATTCGACAATACCTGCACCATATATTGGGCTTTCCTCTTCTGTTGTTGGATCAACGGAAGCCAATTATTGTCCGCATTGTATTCTCCCTTCTTTTAACACGTTGTACGCTTGTTTCTCATCAAAACATAAACGGATTTTGTCTCCTTTCTCGCACCTATATTTTACGTATTCGATGGTTAATCCCGTACGGACGCAATTTCTTTTTTAAAACGAGAAGAAGTATTCCTTAATTATTTTCGGTCAATTTTTCTTACTTCAACTCTAATGATCTCTGATAAGCAATTGACTAAGACTTGAATACTAACAATTAATAAGACCTAATTGATATTCTCCCTTTACAATTCTTGTCTTAGAAACAAGAAAAGAGAAAGAGAAAGAAAACTGACAAAGAATAACAAAAGTTAAGGGATCCTTTGTTGTCCATGTGCTCGAATATTTCCATTTGCTACCTGAATGAGACCTCGATTAAAAGAAGCTGTAACTCGAAAAATACTGCAAATTTTCAAACAGAACGTTTTACACATTATTTCTAAAACTATATAAACGTTAATTTGAAACAAAAAAATAAATTTTTGATGATATGATCTGTGTGGTCTAACCCCTTAAACTGACAATGAGACGTAGTGCTTCAATCGCTGCTGCGCATAGACGACGCTGACGACGCTGACGCATTGCGAAAGACGGGTTCGTAAATCGGCCGTGTCACAATACGTCACTAAAACGTAGGTCGCTTGTCAACCACCCGCGAAGTGCAACAAAAATCGGTTATTACGTCTCTCGGCCCGTGCCACGCCTCCAATATCAATATTTATGACACGGCCGGGTACTTTCGAGAATCGAACGATCGTACGATTCTCGCGAATAACAACGCCGCGTGCTGGTCTCCCGTCCACTTATCGCACGCGGAGGGGGCGCGCGATTATCAACATGTTTTTAATTCCCCGTGCGTTCGCGCGCGTGCGAGCGAGCTTGTGTATACCCTGACGCAATTTTTCCTCCCCTTTCCCATGATTATGCGTCCGATATCTCCTTCTCGTAAATCATCAACTTGTCCCCATCTCTTCTTCCCTTCCTCTTTTCGTCAAAGACGATCGGCAAGCGGCTCGATTGGGAAAAAGAGTAGGGACGCTGGTTCTTAGCGGTCGCGTTTCTGCCTTCCTCTCTCTCTCTCTCTCTCTCTCTCTCTCTCTCTCTCTCTCTCTCTCTCCTCTCTCCCTCCCTCCCTCCCTCCCTCCCACCCTCCTTCCCTCCCTCTCTCCCTCCCTCCCTCCTACCCTCCTTTCCTCTCTCCCCCTTCCTCTGTATATTTGTCCATCTTCTCTTTCTCTCTCGTATACGCCTTGCTGATAAATAAAATATTAACCGACGTTTAATTCGAGCACGCTGTATTTGTGATTGGACGATTGAATCAGTAATCAGTGAGCGAGCGAGGAAGCGAGTGAACGAACAAACGTTCCATCTGAGTAAACGCGCTCGTTTTTCCACTCGTGAATACTCAACCACCGTCGGCCTCCGTGTGGGTATGTGCGCGATTCGTCCAAATTAGTGTGCAATTTCAGATACCGAGAGTGAGCCCCGCTTTTCCAATTTTTGATTGTTCTTTCCACATTTTTTATCGTCCCTCGAGACACGTTGCAAGCGACGACTTAACGTAAAGGGTATTGTCTGTTGGCTATTTATTCCGTTGCTTAAACCCGAGATTGAACGACGCTCGCATCGGGAAGAGAAAGAAAAAAAAAACTACAAGAACAGGACAAACGTTTACGTAGAATGAGCTGTGCGGATACTCGAAACAGCGCGAACAAACAGCAAGGATCGTGTGTTCTTTATTGAGTCAATCTCTTTTTCTCTACATTGGATAGATATTCCGCTCAACATGGTTCACCTGCGGCGCAAGGTAAGTTAACCCACTCCTCCAGTTGTATTCATCCTTCGATCAAAGCTGCTATCCTGAAAATTTCTCGAAAAATCGAAAATTCAATCGGCAATTTTATGCCCCTCCACGAGAAAATTTGAGACCTCTCGAAGATCGGAAGAACGGAACTGCAGAGGCCGGAGATTCAAATTTAATCCACTCGAGTTAATACGATTATATCAAATCGCACTTTATCTATATAATAGAATAAAATAAACAAGAAACCGGCGAGAAAACTCGCCGAGAAACTTCAAGAACCTTCCAAAACGGGAAATAATTTTAGACCTGTTAGATCCGTTGCTCTTTTCCTTGTGCCGTTTGCGAGTTGGTTTTCGTTGGAACCGGCTGAAAAATGTAGTTTCAGCAGAATCATGCGACAATCGATCATTGATTTGCGTACTTCGAACGCGATAATAAAAAGCTGCGTTTACATTTTGTTATTATATTTTAAACACGCGCATTTAAAACAAATATTTAAAATGTATTTTCTGAGGAGAATTTAAAATATAGATTTTAAGATAAAAATATATTATAAAAATATATTATTATAAGTATTTTTAATATATTTAGATATACAATGTTGTAGTAATTTATTTCTTAAAGTTTGTTAGATTTTGTAATACAAAAAATATAGGAACACGTTTTTTGTTTGCGACAGGCAAATCAAAAGATGAACGCGAAATGTTAAACTTAATAGAAAATTGCGTCATTCGAACGGTTAGAAATTTCACATCTGACGTAACTAATTGCATGCATGTGAATATTTAAATATTAAAAAGATAAGCAAAAATATTGCACACTGGTTGAAAATGTAATGAATTGTAATTGAACTTTTCTTTAAAAAAGTATAATTTTTCAAAGATAAAATCCGAATTATCATTTTATACTTATCCGGATTATTTTAGTACATTATACAATATCTCATTAATTGATACGATAATTTAGTTATTCCTTGTAGATAATCCGGGAGGGTTCCGTTTGCCTACATTCTCGAATGCCAACAGTTCAATTTGTCCACAATATTTTGCTGATAGCTTCGTTTGTTGACATTCCCAATTGCCTACAAAGCGATTGCCTACAAGCATTATTGCGCACATGTAATAATTAAAAATACAAATGTGCGTTTGCGCACATGGCCTTATTATGCACAAACACATTGCACATATGACTTTAAGCGGGGAGCACAGACTTTTGCATAACGCATAATGCATAAGTATAAGAAAATGGATTGTTCTATTTCCTTATGCACATATATATGAACCAATCAATTTTCTTATGCATTATGCGTTATGTAAAAGTTTGTGTTTCGACCTTTATTGCACACATGGCCATATTGCATAAAATAAGACACATAAAATAAGAAAATCATGTTAACACTTTGCACACACGACTATGTTGCGCACATACATTTTGCACACATGACTTTATTGCGCATATACACATTGCACACATAACATTACTGTGCACATACACATATTGCACATATGACTTTATTGCGTACATACACGGATTTCCACGTAAAGCGAGGTCTACTCCACCCCATCCCACCCCTGCTTATAGGGGCGAAACGAGGTCTATCATTGTACAGTTCGGGTTTTCTACTTACCACGAAGCGAGGTCCACCCCACACTTCCATTTACATTTATGATAGATTCGAGATCAAACGTGTATTCAACTTAAGAATATTGGCGTCAATATTGCTTATTGATGGTATCTATTAATCGTGGAATTTTTTAAGTATTTTTCCCGTATTCTTCGCTAAAAATACCTTCAAAAATAACTTTAACATTATGACGTTTTATGGACAAGATTCCCATAGTTATGGAAATCTTGTCCATAAAACTAGAGCAATAACATTATGTGTGCAATGTGTATATGTGCAATAAAGTCATGTATGCAAAGTATATGTGCGCAACAAAGTCGTGTGTGCAAAGTGTTAATATAATTTTCTTATTTTGTATATCTTATTTTATGCAATATGGCCATGTGTGCAATAAAGGTCGAAACACAAACTTTTACATAACGCATAATGCATATAAGAAAATTGATTGGTTCATATACATATACAAGATCTTCAATTACCGGTAAATTTACGATATATTAAGGTGCATTACATGCAACAATATGCTCAGTCAGATGATACAATATTATGTAAAAATACTTGAAAATATTCAAACTAAATTGGCGTAAGCCTAACTAAATTTATAATGAATTTATGTTTATGTAATATTAAGATATGACGGAAGATTACATTCTCACGCGTCAAACGTGCGTCTCTTCGAACGAGTTTTATTTGCTAATTTATAATTTTAATTCAACTAAAGTATATTTAAATACGAAAGTAGTTCATTTAACTACATTTCTTATATCATTTATACTTACAATTAAAAAAATATAACATATAGGTATACTACTACATATTTATATTGCAATTATATATACTACTACATCTATATATATAAGTACCGGACGTCTGTCTGTCTGTCTGTCTGTCTGACTGCGAACCACTCATTCGTTAGTGGATCGAATTTTTATCAAGGGTACATGAAATAGGGGTAGAATTTCCCGGGGAGTGCGATAAAGTGTATAGTTTTTCGTTGCCGATTTTCTGGAAACCGGTATCAGAAATTTTTACAATTTTTCGGGAAATAATTGACCGAATCTTAAAGATTTATAGATCAAACAGGGATAGAATTTTCCGGAGAGTACTATAAAGTGTATAATTTTTCGTTACCGATCTTTTTGGAAGCCGGTACCAAAATTTTTTAAATTTTTTGAGAATTAATTGACCGAATCTCAAAGAATTGTATATGAAGTAGAGGTAGAATTTCTTGGGAAATGCTATAAATTGTATAATTTTTTGTTACCAATTTTTTTGGAAACCGGTTCAGAAATTTTTCCAATTTTTCGATTCAAAAATTTTATTAATTTTTTGAGGATGGGTTTAATTGCCACTGGAAACAGTGGAAACCAGTTCGTCTTCTGTCTGTCTGTCTGTTTGTCTGACCGCGAACTACTCATTTGTTAGTGACCGAATTTTTACCAAAAGTGTATGAAATAGGAGTAGAATTTTCCAGGGAGTGCCATGATGTGTATAGTTTTTTGTTACCGATTTTCTGGAAACCGGTTCCTCACAGAGGAAGCTTTGTTTTCATAAATTTCGTATATGAACCTTTTATTGCGTATAAAGTTGGATCTAATCAACCACATTTAAATGAATTATTTATGAAATAGAGGTAGAGAAACCAAAGAAAAGATTTGTTTTAAGTTTTTGATGCTAATATGTTCAGATGTATAATTTTTCGTTACCGATCTATTTGGAAACCGGTATCCAAAATTTTTCAAATTTTTCGGGAATTAACCAGTCACTTCAATTCGCGACTGTCGAGAGCGATTAAGACCGGTTTTTGGAAACCGGTTACGAAATTTATCAAATTTCTCGGAAAATAACAAGTAGTTCGCGGTCAGACAGACAGACATACAGACGTCAGGTACTTATATATATAGATAGAGGTAAAAAGAACTTAAGAATGTAATAGAATTAGAAAAATTGCTAATAGTAGTGGTTTACAATTTCTGTTAAAAAAATATATACGTAATTGCTCCAATTTCTGCAAACTTTGAAATATCAAGCTGAATTTTTTTATGGATAATTTTTTTAATGAATAATTTTTTGTTACCGATTTTTAAAAACCGGTTTGAAAATTATAAAAATTTTGAGAAATAATAAAGTATTAATTGACCGATTTTTTTGAAACCAGTGCCAAAATTTTTAAAATTTTTGGAGGATAAGTTTAATTTTTTATTAATGGATAATTTTTTATTAATGGATCGATTTTCTTGAAACCGGTGCCAAAATTTTTCTAATTTTTTGTTGATGATTTTGATGAAATTGGTACCAAAAGATTACTAATTTTATGGAGATGGCTACTATGGGATTGAAAATTGGGTTTTATGGGGTTCTATTGGTGCTCCTAATTAATGAGTGAGTTTGGGGAGAGGGGAATAGATTTTGAGCCCGCGCGAAGCGCGGGCGAAAAATCTAGTAATATATATTTATATGCATTTATATATTACTACATAATACATACTATTACATAATTATAATATAAAAATATATTATGATTATATTGTAATATATATTTATATATACAATTATAATTAATATTTATATCATTAAGAATAATTATTTATAATTTATAATAATTTATAATATAATAAATTATATTTGTATATTTATATAAAATACAGAGGTATATATATATATATACATATACAATCTATAAATTGCATTTATGCACACAAGTCAATATTTTTAAAAATTTGACACACTATGGCTTTTACCCCTCCATGTATAAACTTGAGTTTTGAGGAAAAAAAATGGAAAAACGACAAAGTGTAAAAGATCCCTTTTAATTAAAAGTAAAATGAATAGAGTAATTAATATTTGTGCAAACGTCAGTAGATCGTTTGATTTGAATTTAATCAACTCATGTTTGTTCGTTAGCGCATGATTTCCGATGAGTGACATTGAATGCAATGTATACATTTTATATGCACATTGATCTATAATTATACACTAAATTATATCTACATATCAAATACTATATATCTAATATATACATATCTCTAACCAATTCATCGAGCGTCACGTAAAAAATATATTTGTTGCTTTTATAATTATTTTGCATATATTGATATATGGTTCCTTGTTTTTTATTGCATAATACCGAATACGCTAGTAGTAAGATAGATCGACATAATATTTCAACGAAAAATAGATAGATCGACATATTTCAACGAAACATGCAACGTTCAACCTGCAATCTATGCATAGATATCCCAGATATCAGATATCTGGGATATCTATGCATAGATTGCAGGTTGAACGTTGCATGTTTCGTTGAAATATGTCGATCTATCTATTTTCAGATATCAGATATCTGGGATATCTATGCATAGATTGCAGGTTGAACGTTGCATGTTTCGTTGAAATATGTCGATCTATCTATTTTTCGTTGAAATATTATGTAGTATTGCATATGCAATACTACAATCTTTTTAAATAAGGTAACGGAGGGTAGCCCCGGACAGTGGGTATAAGCCCCGAACATTATTAAAATTCAAGTATACCGCATATCTATGGCCATTGTTCAAACATTCTAATATGCCCTTCTGCGTATCTCGACATATACCCATGCAGACATATATTTAAACAATGGCCATAGATACGCGGTATACTTGAATTTCAATAATGTCCGAAGCTATTCACTGTCCGGGGCTACCCCCCATTCCCCTAAACCTTTCCTCCGAGAAAGAATGCCATTAATTATTGTTTCGAAAAATTTTTCTTTTCTTGAAAAGCGAAACTCCATTAAAAAAACTTTTGATTCTGGTCCATGATGTATACGAGCTTGTAATATAAATTTTGCCGTCGCAAAGTTTAATCAGTAAGACACATACACAATGCTTTAACGTATTTTATACTTCTTGAAAAATATTTAAAAACTCATATTTCGCTTGTAACACTAGTCGAATGATCAAACAAATATGTAGCGCCTAGTTGATATTTGTGTCGATGAACATACAAAATTGCAATCGTGCGTTTCTCTTATCGACGTATTTTTTTAACTGGTAATCTAATTTCATAACAGCTTTTGCTTTTTTTACTTTTTCCTTCAAAATGCATATCTGTTCAAAGTATAACGAAGGCATAACATCACATTTTTTATAGTCTTACTTCTACTTTCTACAGTCTTACTTCTAATTCTACGAATAATTAAATAATGAAGACATGGCATATCTTAAATAAAAGGTCATCAAGAATTTTAAATTTCTCTTGAGAAGATACGCATTCTTTATTATATGTATACAGAAATAAGTGTGTACATGTTCTTATTTTAGATTTTATCCTTTGGAAATCTGATTAACCAGCTACAGCAGAGCGTTAGATGGAGCTCTTCTTTGAAAACTAAAGACAAGAACTCTATACAACCGCAACGTTTCTTTAAGGTATGTACTTGTCACAATAGCAATGATTGAGTAGTTAAATCTAATAAATATAAAAGTAAAAGTATAATTTAATTTACAGTACGCAGATTTGTCTGTCCGTCTCGCTGGTCCAGAACAGTTAAATCCTAAGCCCGACGTTAATAAGCTTTCATTTGGAAAATATTTCACTGATCACATGCTCAAGATACATTATTACGAAGGCATGAATGGTTGGCAGGCACCAGAAATTATGCCCTTCGAAAACATAGTCCTTCATCCAGCTGCGAAAGTACTTCATTACGCTGTAGAGGTATACATAATATTTTATATTTTGGAAGTTACGTAAAATAGGCTTAAGAAAATTGATTTATATTTAGTGATTTATCTGTTATTCTTTTATTACATTATTAGATCTCGAAGAGACTTTGCAAAAAAATATTGCTTATCTAATTAAAAATAAATATCTATTTCTGCTTTGTTGTTGTATCTAATTATGTATGTATGATTTTTAGTATTTATAATGTCAATGGTTTTTGTCTCATTAATTTAGGATAATTAGAATAGAATTATTTACTAAGATGTGTATCTAAGCGAAGCTGATAAATTTTCTTTTATCAGATTAAATTCCTATAAAGAAATTCTTGAAATATCCTCCATATCAAAAATATTCAAGCAAATCAAGAACTTGAAGTGTATTTTACTATCATCCGTTATTCATATTAAATTCAAGATGTACATGTAACATGTTTAAAACTATAGGATATCCAAAGATTGTTACACTTGTACGTATACTAATTGTTACGGAGGAAATTTCTTGCTGCGCTTTAATTTAACAGTAATAATATATATATATATCTTTCCTCAGTTGTTTGAAGGTATGAAAGCTTATAGAGGTGTTGATGGCAAAATAAGATTGTTTAGACCAGAACTAAATATGGAGAGAATGAATAATTCAGCAATAAGAGTGGGTCTGCCTCCTTTCAGAGGGGAAGAATTAATTAAGTGTATTTGTAGATTGATTAGTATAGATCAAGAATGGGTTCCACATTCTACCGCCTCTAGTCTTTACATTCGTCCCACGCTTATAGGCATCGACGTAAGTATCGTTTTATCATTGTAAGTGTCAATATCACTCGTGGGTCAATGTGTCATCGAGTAGCGCCCTGTTAATATTTATATCGTTAAAATTTGCATTGTAACAATACTTTACAATAAATGATGCAATTGCATGGCCGTTTGTGGATCAAGTTACAAACATAATCAGTGAGGAACTCATATTACTTATGTCACGGACGTCATCAAGACTGTTGTATACGCGCACGAGAATAATCGTTATATTTCTCAATACCTAATGATAATACTTGATAAACGGAATCAGAGTCTTTTGTTGGCGCGCGGTCACATGTTGCATATAAGATGCATGCCCCTGCAATCATGTTATTTGGACGTAGTCTGACTTATCATTCAAGAACTTTTTCTCTTCTTTTCTCGGTTTTTCCGACAAATTTGATATGGCAAAAATTGGACGTCACTTTCATGAATATCATATATCGTCGTATCAGTTCTTATCATATCAATACGTAATTATAAAAAGCCCATTTATTTTTTATTATATTCTTCAATTTTTTACCGTTTACTTTTATAATTTTTTTAAGTAACATATTACTTGCGTTTTTAAATCTTTTCAACAATACGCGTTAATCACGACACGTGAAACTTTTTTATTCAACTTTAACGTTTTGACTTCCTGCCTGCAAGATAAGTGTTGCTAAGAGTATTTATTAGACTTACAATTAGTGATAACAGCATTCAGACAGAAATTTTTCCTTCTTTCGTAATCGATTTTCGTGACCTTCTTGAAATGGTCGCATGATGACTATTTCTGATATTGACTCTGAAAAACTGATGAAAATCTGATGCAATAAACTTTTGAATTTGTATTATAATATAACATAACGATATGTATACAACTACATATTTATTTTAAATATTCAAAAATATATGTTGCAACTAATGTGATACGTATCTTAAGTGATGCTTTAACAAACAAATTTTGAACACATATAAATAAAAAATTTGCTTTGATATTACAAAAGAGAACGTAAAAACACACATAAATTTAAACTATTAACAATTAATGCAATATAAAATGTCTTTCTAAGTGATAATACGTTTTAAAATTTTAATAGAAATTTTTTTATCCTTTTCAAAATCTGATTTAACTCATTTTACTTGTCCCTATATAGCCTACGCTTGGAGTCGTAGCCTCGGATTCAGCTTTATTGTATGTAATCCTATCTCCCGTCGGCTCTTACTTTAAACCTACAGATGTGCAAGTCGGGGTTTCCCTGCTTGCAGATCCTAGATATACGAGAGCATGGCCTGGCGGTTGCGGTAATGCTAAAGTAGGCAGTAATTACGGACCTACGATTCAAGTTCAACAGGAGGCTACCGAAAAAGGTTTACAGCAAGTACTGTGGTTATACGGCGAAAACAATGAACTCACAGAAATTGGCGCTATGAACGTCTTTGTTGTTTGCATAAATGATAATGGAGGTAAAAAGTATTTCCTGGTGAATTTTGTATTATAAAATATTTTATATCATACGTGCGTGGAAAGCTCGCCTTTGGCTCGTGCGTCCACTCCGCACTCGTGTCCAATTCTTAACTTCCCGCACTTGTTACACAAATAACTATATAAAAATCATCATAATAAAGAAAAGAGGCTTGACCTGATTTAACGACCCAGTTTAGTGACCCGATTATTATCCTTGTTATTTTTCGCAGAAAGAGAATTACTTACACCACCCCTAAACGGCTTAATTTTACCCGGAATTGTGAGAAAGTCGCTTCTAACTATATCTAGACAATGGAATCAATTTCAAGTTACGGAGAGAATTATTACGATGAAAGAAATCATACAGTTACTTTCAGAGAACAGAGTAAGATTTACATATGCAACTTTCCATTTTCTCTCTTTTTCCCATTTATCGCATTGGTTATTATTATAATTTCTTTGTTATAGCTGTTGGAAATATTCGGAGCAGGAACAGCATGCGCAATTAGTCCCGTATCTTATATTGATTTCCAAGGTCAAGGGTTACATATACCGACAACGGAACAACCCGAACCAATTTATCAAATGCTCAAGAAATATTTACTAGATATTCAATACGGTGTTATACCCGAACATCCATGGAGTTTAGTCATCGAGTAAAAAAATTATATATATATATATATAATATTATATATATTTTATATTATATTATATATATTTAAAAAGTCATATACATATTTGTATATACACATATATGACTCTTTTAATGACTTATGTGGAACGAGTTAAATTAATATTTATTTATACTTGTGATTACTCCTTGTGAAGAAAGTTTACTGTGTAAAATACTTTTTTAGAGACCGTGCTATGTTTAGAAACTTTTCGTTTCACATACTATTGTAGGTAGCTTTTTCTCTCTAATATAATCATATATACATAAATTTTATACATAATGCTGACGACTATATATATAATATACTTGTATATATGTCGGAACATATATTTATATATAAACTTAGACGCATCTATTGTTGTACATATTTTTAGTGTACATTTTATACATATATGTAAATTGTATTACATATATTAGTAAACATATGTTTCTAGATTTTGTAAAAACGCCTGTTTTTAATAATAATAATAAAGGATTGTATAAAACTTATTTATTTATGTGTCGCAATTATGTAAAATCGTCCTTGAAATAGAGATCTCTTTTATCCTTTCTTTCTTTGCTTCCAAAATTACTGAATATATCTAAAGAAGATTGTCATTATTTATTTTTTTCTTGACGTAATCTCATCGGATGTTTTATGATGTAAACACTCAATGTGATTCTATGTGTCGTAATACTGACATTTTGTAATAATACAAAATGTGTATCGTGCGATATAGATGCATATCAAATAACAAATATGTTTTGAATCTTGTTCGTCATGATAAAGAAACGGAATTTTGTTAGTCGTTTCTAATTACGTTGCTCGAGTCAACGATCGACTTCACCCCAATGACAATATCATTATTCGGTATTGTCACTTATTATATGATGACATTTACACAGATGATTGATGAACAGTTATTTATCATAATCTTTATCATCAGTTTATCATCTTTATCTTCATCGTCTATTGGTTCGATCCTCAAAGTGCCACGCCTAAAAAAGGTATGTTTTGACAAGCGCGTATAACAATTAGAGTGAATACACAAGCACTGTAAATTTCTTATGTCAAATTTTTACTGTCAATGTGATTTCTGCCCAGTGCTCTGAATGTCAACGTGAAGAAATTCAAGCAAGCGCGGGTAAACGGTGGGAGTAACTATGACTCTCTTAACAGTAGCCAAATGCCTCGTCATCTAATTAGTGACGCGCATGAATGGATTAACGAGATTCCCACTGTCCCTATCTACTATCTAGCGAAACCACTGCCAAGGGAACGGGCTTGGAAAAATTAGCGGGGAAAGAAGACCCTGTTGAGCTTGACTCTAGTCTGGCACTGTAAGGAGACATGAGAGGTGTAGCATAAGTACTGTCAATGACCGTTTCGATGATTTTCGTTTTCTTATCAGAAGCTTATCATCTCTCTGAAAACGTGTGCCCTTCTTCGGCAATATTCGATAATTTAGTAAATAATATACATATATGAAGACGAGCGTGGCCTAGTAGATATATATAGCCCGGGGGGTAACGACACAAAAGTGTCAGCGATTTGATTAGTCTTGGAACAAAGTAATTTCTTTTGTTTTAATAGTGTTGTTGATGAAATGCAGATTCTGGCTGCGCTGTTTCGCTGGAATGAGCGTTGCGGCGCCTTTGATCTTGTCGTAAAAACACTTATGTTGGAAGAATTTGATTAGTGCTGAGCTTTTATATATTTATTGTTTTTTGTATAAAGAAATGTTTTAGAAGAGTCTGGCATGCAACTGACACTGGAAAATGAGTCTGGCATCCTCCCAAAATCGTTGTAAAAAGTCGATTTGTAGAATTATTTGATTAGAGCTGTAACTTATCAAGATAGTAGTTTAAATATATAAAATTATAAAAAAATAAGTCTGTCTACTTGTACTGGCTGGAAAATTGGTCTGGCACCCCCTTTAAGGTTGTATGACCCGTAAGATCTCTGCCAAAAGTTTAAGAAACGTAACATAAAGCTAATTAACATATTTAAGAAGATATTCTTTACTGGAAAGTAATATTTATATTAATATTTTATTAAAATAACGGTTGCCTGTGTTTTTAAGAGCTATAGAGACATTTTTATGCATATTTTCTCGTATGCAAACTTTCACTTTTAATGATTTTTAGAAAGACTGTACCTGACTTGCAACTGACACAAACGAAAATCTGAAAGTATGAAAATCTTTAAAAAGTAACAAAACATAGTAATTACTGTTTAAAAATATTAATGAAATTATATTACGTTATTTATTTACGTCATTTATTAATAAATTAAATACAATAGCTCTCATAAAAAAGTATTTTGATCGCGACAACGTCGCATTTTCTGTAAGTTGGTAGCATTGATCTCACTCGACATCAGCTGCGTGAACGCGAAGTGTGTGCTCTGAGCACGTGTAATATACAGACGCAACGTTTGAGGTTAGTTTTCGCTTGCGCTACGAAAATGCCAAAAGTAAAACGTTACATGTGCGCCATGGAATTGTTACAATCATCTGGTGTGGTTTCGACTCGTGTCTTCAAATTACGTTTCCCAGTATTTGTCTGTGCTAACCGTTGATTGTACACTTTTTCAGTGACAACTTTTCCTTTCCACATGTAACGTTTTACTTTCGGCATTTTCGTAGCGCAAGCAAAAACTAACCTCAAACGATGCGTCTGTATATTACACGTGCTCAGAGCACACTTTCGATACACAGGAGGCTCTATTGGAAAAAGTAACGGACCTCTATAGTATTTGTTATCCTTTACGGAGAGTGACGGAGAGAGAGGTTCTAATGTGACGTCATAGTGCGCTGTTGCCGGATCTCTGTACTTACGAGTTCAGTGAGACCAAGCGAGACTACTGTTCTCTGTTTGGTTTTTATTCAATATTTCAGAAAATATCCTCGAAGTCATAATTTTTTTGGTTCTAATTTGTTTGTAAGATGTTTATTAATATTTCTGCAAAGTTTTAAAAGGATGCCATATTTTCTTCGATATTAATTTCTCAAATGAAGTTGAAAAAACAGTGAAACTTGATGAATTCCCATAAGAGCCCATGTTAAATTCAAATTGTTATAACTTTTGAACGGGCCTCGCAAACTTGTTCAAACTTGGCACAATGCTTTATTATTATAATACTCATCACCTGACAAAGTTTGAAGAATTTGGCATTTTTTCTTCTAAGGGGTCATACAACCTTAAAGTCGTCTGCACGAGCGCGCCCGTAGCTCGTTGCCCGCCGTATCTCTAAATATTATTAACGCATTACTTATTGAAAAAGATTTTACTTGTCCAAAAGGAAAAACGTAAACGATTTCGTGCTTATTAGTAGTGGAATGATGTGTAATTAATTATGTAATAATCAGAAATAAAGTAATTTAAAAATAAAACTATATTTTAAAGTAGTCAACATCATGCAAGTATACGCTTATAAAAAATCAATTAACTTTATTTATTAAAATTATTAATTTATTTATCTGGATAATCTGTAATCAAACTTTCAATTTCTGACGAACTTTTATTTTTATCATCGGTGAGCTCGGTGTTGTCGGTATCTTCATTGGATTCTTCTTCGATTTCCTTTGATTGAGTACGTTCATGATCCGAAAATAATTCAAAGTTGAATTTATTATTAAAATTACACGATTTTAATAAGCTGCGATAAAAATAAAACTTTTACGCACTAAACTAATTAACTCGTTTTATTTGCAAAAAAAATAATTATTATTTTAAAATCATATTTCTAGTCATGATTAAAGATTTATTAACAGTATTTAAACCAAAATTCTTTATATTTTTATAAACTAAAATATTATAATATTATAAATAAATATAAGTTATTATAATGATAAGTATCTTTATTAATTTCAAATTATTTGTTGCATCACGATTATAACTTTATTATTAGTTTGTTTATTCAAAATTAATTTTGCATTCATTTAAAATAAAATTAATTTATAAAATATACCTTCAATTTCTTCCTCATTCGATTCAAGTAATATATCGCTCACGAACGGGGGCAGTTGCACTCCTTCGAACCAAGTAAACTCGTACTTTTCGTCAACTCCTTTCCAGCCATTCTCAATCGGAGACAACTTTGTCATATGCTGCAAATAAGCATTTTTACAAATGGTTGCGATGTATGACGCTCTCAAAAGTCGTTGCTTTAATTCGAATTTACATGGAGGTATAGTTACGGATCAAATATACTTCAATGTCAATTCGAATTAAAGCAACAACTTTTGAGAGCGTCATACATCGCAACCATTTGGAGAAATGCTTATTTGCAGCATATGACAAATTTGTCTCCGATTGAGAATGGCTTGAGAATGGCTTGAGAAAGAAGGTGACAAAAAGTACGAGTTTACTTGGTTCGAAGGAGTACAACTGCCCCTGTTCGTGAGCGATATATTACTTGAATTGAATGAGGAAGAAAATGAAGGTATATTTCATAAATTAATTTTATTTTAAATAAATGCAAAATTAATTTTAAATAAATAAACTAATAATAAAGTTATAATAATGATGCAACAAATAATTTAAAAAATTAATAAAGATACTTATTATTATAATAACTTATATTATTCATTTATAATATTATAATATTTTAGTTTATAAAAATATAAAAAATTTTGGTTTAAATACTGTTAATAAATCTTTAATTATGACTTTAGAAATATGATTTTAAGATAATAATTATTTTTTGCAAATAAAACGAGTTAATTAGTTTAGTTCGTAAAAATTTTGTTTTTTCGCAGCTTATTAAAATCGTGTAATTTTAATAATAAATTCAACTTTGAATTATTTTCAGATCATGTACTCAATCAAAGGAAATCGATGACGATACCGACAACACCAAACTCACCGATGATGAAAATGAAAGTTTATCAGAAATTGAAAGTTTGATTACACAGATTATCCAGATGAATAAATTAATAATTTTAATAAATAAAGTTAATTGATTTTTTATAAGCGTATACTTGCATGTTAACTACTTTAAAATATAGTTTTATTTTTAAATTACTTTATTTCTGATTATTACATAATTAATTACACATTATTCCACTACTAATAAGCACGAAATCGTTTACGTTTTTTCTTTTAGACAAGTAAAATCTTTTTCAATGAGTAATGCGTTAATAATATTTAGAGATACGGCGGGCAACGAGCTACCAGCCCGCTCGTGCAGACGATTTTAAAGAGGGTGCCAGACCAATTTTCGAGCCAGTACAAGTAACCAGACTTATTTTTTTATAATTTTATATATTTAAACTACCATCTTGACAAGTTACAGCTCTAATCAAATGATTCTACAAAT